AAAGGCACTGGGAATATTACAAAATGTATCATTGTGTTGGACGGAGGCTATAAGGGTGACTGATTTAGGTACTTATATATTTATTTATCAGCTCAAGCTTATAGTGATTATTTCTAGAACATTAATAATGTACTTTGTTTAAATATACAATGTCATGTGTATAAATGAAATATACAATTTATTTTTATCATTCTATATGAAGTCTATTTAACTGAACAAAGGGCTATATTTTGTTAATAGTGTTCTTTTTGTGACTATTTAAGAATTGAAATTAATCGAGACTAGAAAGTGTAAATGTGCGAGTCCGAATAAAACGACCTGAAGTCACTTTAACTATAGATGAATCCTTAAAAAATTAATATGACGTTAAAATAACTAACGTTAATCAGTCAAATGAAGGAAGGGTAGCGCTCGATGTTCTACGTGGATAGCACGGGCTTTATACGTATACGGCGGTCCGTTTGGTTATAAAAATGCGTGCACAGTGTCTAAAAGTGACTTGGTTTGTATTTGTTCTTAGATAGATAAATTAATTTTTACAATAATAAAAGGGCTCACGATATCTAATCACTATGCAGTATTTACGAATAGCCTCGGCATAATAATGAAAGTATTGTGATGCTTGGGACCCTTAGACCATTCATTGGGTTGAATGGTCTAAGTTGGGACCTGTTAGAATAGTGATCATAACAATATTTTGAAAGTATAAACATTATATTTCGGTTTCAAATTAAAAAAAAAGCTTATTGTTACTAAATAAATCAAACTTCACAACCCAGGTCGTAAAATCCGAAAACGCGTCTGAATATTTAAAACTAATATCTACTACCTAACTGTATTTTTATTCCATTATAATAAAGATAATAATCTATATCTTGGATATTCCTTTTTCTTAACTTTAATTAGCTTATAATAAATTAATCAAATCTAATGAATACTTAGAGCTCTTTTGAACAATATTTTCGCGACACCGTTGCTCACAGTGAGCATTTAATAGCGGATTATTAAATAACGAAGAGCAAGAAACAATAACAACTCTTATTCTATGATAATATGAGTTCATTCACATTCGGAGTTTTAATACATCATAGGGCAAGGCAAAAATTATTGCAAATGTCATTTATTACAAATGTATATTATGTTACATAAAATTCGTAAGCGACTTTAAATACGAGTACATAGCAAAGTGTCGCGAAAACTTCCGTAACTTAGTCGGTAATCGTCATTTTTAATGTACATAAATATTTATAAAATACTTTTTAGTGTATCTTGGTTCCGGAATAGATGACTCTGTTCTAATAATTTATAAAATAATTACGTTTGTATGTAAAGCGATTTCCTTGGTAATGATTGTACCTGTTGTGCTTTTAAAATGATATATTAAAATACGTAATGGTTAACTGTTTTTTTGAGTTCTTACTTCCATCACTTTTTGACTTAATTCTTTGTCTCGAGATGTCCTAATTATACGACAGCTTTATTGGAAAGGTATGGATAAAAATCTTCCTAGGCTCAAAATTACATTAAGTCGATTTACAGCAACTTCGCTTTTAAATAATATGTAATATCTTTTTTTATTAAGTGTCAGCCCGAAGCGGCCTGGGCTGTGCTCTCACTAAAGCCTGTGCTCAATCACAGTACACCGTACAACGTGTCCATAAAGCTTGACTCCAGTTCGCATTCCAAAAAGATGTTCTCATTACACTCCTCCTGAAAAATAATATCAAACAAACACTTAGTAATATATCTGTGCATGTAACAGGAAAATGTACAAATGTTTTATATTATGTAAGTATTTTGTTTCAGTTTCAATAATTTTGGTAACATATTAACTTTTTATAAAAACACTGTAAGAAAAGTAACTAGTATTTACTTCACTTTTACTTGTTTACTTGTAACTAGTATTTACTTCACTTTTTTATTTTCTGGATGTTAGCGCTGTTAGTCTATACGACTCTTACAGCTTCATCTGACTCAGCCTTGTAGGCCGTGAGCTAATTAAAAAAGGGAAAGGCAAATGAGGTGAAGATGATGATGAGTGGTTTATGATTTGGTATTATTACCGATCATCATGTCGCCTTTTTAGACATTTCTTGAGCTATCTAACCGCAGTCCGAGGGGGGGGGGGAGTGCGGACCCCCGTTTCTGACTGCTCACTATAATACAATAGAATATCTAAAATAATACATATAATCTTTATCGTACACCAAGAGAAGATACAAAATAACAAAAAATAAATAATCAAATATTGAGGCAAAAACAAAAGGCGATCTTATTTCTACATAACAATCTCTTTCAGACAAACCACATAAAATAACACTATATACAAATAATATTTTTTATTGTATGTTAATTAATTGTTTATTGAGTAAAAGTTTTGACCTGGTAAGATATTCAGGAAGCCTATGGATGCAGGTGGCTTATGACATTCCTTGGGGGACTAAGTTCAGCAGTGAACTTGTGAAGGGCTGTAATGATAATGATGAATGCTTATTATTTCATGTTTGTGCGAAGTAATCTAAGCTCATTTAGGGTTTGTACGAAGAAATTTTACCTTCATTGCATCTTAGTATTAAACAACGTAACGTGTTATTATGCTAACTGGTCATGCCTATTTAGGTCGTGAAAGGCGTATAATCGATGTAGCGTGTTCCATCGTGCTTCAGCATGCGGGTTTCAATTACCATGATCTTTTACAACGTTGGGAGAAAATGACAGCCATTTACCTTGCAACCGGACAGTACGCTGTGATCAACTCGGCTCCTATTAAATTGAATACATTTTGCTTGTCTTTTGTTTGCGATTACAATTTTGGGAGTACTTTGTTCCCAACTTTAAAAGCTTATAGATATAGTTTAATTTAGATATTAAATATGTGCTCCGAAAAATTATTGTTTAATAAAATAGGGCCTAATAAATTTACCAAATGATTATAGTGAGTGATTTTTTTACCGTCTGGTAAAAATGAGTGTACAGGTGAAAGGAACAAAAGCCTATGGCACTGATATTTTGCATTAACATATTATGAAATTGATTTATCTATAAATATTACTGAATTGGGTGCGTATTGTTTTAATTTCGATAGTTTTTAATTGATTTATTTATTTAGTTTAAAGTGTTTGTTTTTACTTTTTCATTAACACAAGTTTATTTTAAATTAGTGGTATTTAATGACAATTCAATTATATAATATGTTAAAGTAAAAGCAAAAAAATCAAAAAAAAATCAGTTAATTTATATTTGACGTATAATATATCAAAAGTGTTATTTTTAATGAGTGAATAACTTAATTTCCATTTCGGTTCCGGGCTATTATGATTTATGACATGTATTTTTTTTCTTGCCATACGGCAGTGCTTGGTTACTATCCTATTTGATAATGTGTGTTGTAGTCGAAGATGAAAAAGCGAACTGACTTAGCTTAACATAAACACGTTAACGCTTGTCTTAAAGCCAGTTCATTAATATCTGACATAGGTTGGTACGTGACTAGAAGGTCTCTGAGAGATTATGTGTTATGTTCGGGTTGATTCGTGGATTCCACGCGTGAAGATTTTGAGCAGGCTCTGATTCTGCTCCAGAGATTAGGTAGATCTAATCAACAAAACTTTTTATTTACTTACATTATAGATGAAAGTTATTGATAAAATCCGAAATATTCATCATCAACATTACAGCTCCTTACAAGTCCACTGCAAAACTACTTATGAATATAGGCCTCCACCATCATTACATCTAGTAGGGTTCTTTGTAACTTTTAATAGGCTTTTATAAATGATGAAAATTCTATTTCGCCAGTGCATGACAAAGCCATGATTTAATAAATTATGGAAAGCAAATATTTGGAATTTTAATTTCGGTTCTGAATTCGGAACTGACAAAAACAACAGAAAACTGAAAACCATTGGTTTAAGTTTATGCTTCGTACTCGTACAGGTTCATGCTTACAATGATGATTGACTTAATGATGAATATGTTCTTTCACTGCCATAAGGTTGACTGGCAGAGAATGCTTTTAGCATTAGAATGGAATAGAATAATTTTTTACTCAATATAGATTACAAGTAATTCTTATTGAAAGTCAATTGTTTACTTTATCACTGGTTCGAAAAACAACCTATGCCCTGGGAAGAACCAGCAAGAAACCCAGCGGGACTTTTTAAAATAAATAAATTTTACAATGTCAGTGATCACAAAATATTTACAAAATTTGTTTTAGAAACAGCTTGGAAGCGACCGCCTCATTCAGAGGGGTTATTACCAATCATTTACTCTTTAATAGTGTAATAATCCTTACTAAACCATTTTTGCCTGGTTAAGAACATAATTCAAATTTTCATAGATATACTGAGAGGCCAAAGATAATATATTTATTTCTTTAAATTTTTCTCTAGGAGACTCTCTCGGTTTAAGGTTGTAAATAGCTCTCATGGCCCTCTACTGCAAAACAAAAATAGTTTCTAAATCAGCCGCATTCCCCCATAGCAAAATTCCATATGACATTATGCTATGGAAATAACTGAAATAAACTAATCTAGCTGTCTCGACACTAGTAAGATCTCTAATCTTTTTTACAGCATAAGCTGCAGAGCTTAGTCTGCTTGCTAGTTTAGATACGGACCCACTGAAGCTTAGCGTCGAGAGTGATGTCAAGAAAAACAGAAGATTCGACGGGACTCGGTTCTTCCCCATTTAATAACACATTAGTATTCGGATTATTAACGTGTGTTGTTGTAAATTTAATACATTTAGTTTTATTGCCGTTTAAATGTAGATTGTTAACGTTAAGCCAATGCACTGATTTCGATACATTACATACATTAAGCCCGCCTTTTGATCTTATACTGTGGTAAGGTTCAATAAAGTTTAAATAAATGATAGCGCCGTTTTTCTTCCTTTCAACGTGAATGTCTTAATTTATGATTATGAATTAGAGCTAATAAATGAAATACCTGAACAGGGGGAGGCGCGGGCGGTTGCTCACCGCCCCTCCTCGCATGTCATTTAGAAGACTTGGGCAGGTGTCGTTTCATATGCAGCGCGAGGTGATCCGATCTGGCAAAGGAGCGTTCACAAACAGCGCATTTAAACGGTTTAGCGCCGGTGTGCTTGCGGTAGTGACGCGTTAATTCGTCTGAACGCGCGAATCTCCATTCGCACTCTGGCCACTGGCATGTGTATGGTTTTTCGCCTATTTAATAACAAACTTGATTTTATTGTCTATCATAATATGTTTTTTCTGTAATAACCTTAAAAGTGACCGATGTCATTGACGCTTGTAAAAATGTTCTTTGTTTTTGAATTTTACATCTCTTTTTGTACTTTGACCGTTTTTTGTGTTCATGTGTTCTTACTAGATTAACTACAATTAACCATACTATGATGTATAATTGCAAATCTAATTTCTTAGATGAAGGGACTTGCCCCTTTACCGACCCCTTTTTAATAATACCGACGACGTACCCTTTTTAATAATACGATTATGGTTTGTATAGAATCGTGAATGTATACAGAAAGAATAAAATTTTAATTCAATGAAAAATGAATTAGATTTGTCCATATTTAGAAGTGAAACTTTGAATCGGTATTGTTACTTCTTGTCGGCAAGTAGTTAGTAAAGCTTTCGCTACGCCTTTAAAGCGGGATATTAAAGTGATTATATATTAAGGGTAATTTATTTTAATAAGAAATTATTACTGTCATGTGTGGTGTAAATATTTTCGCTTTCGCATCATTAAATAGGTAATTCGCAATGCCATAACATTCATATTTAGATATTTTTATATATTATAATTAGGTATAGGTATTTTTATTACCTGTATGTATACGTTGATGAGCTTTTAGGTGTGAACTCTTGGTGTAAACTTTTGTGCATCCTGAAATAGTTCGAAAAACAACAGTTATTGACTTTTTCATTTAATTTAATTCTTAATCTCCATAATCGCAACCGATCTTCACTGGCACGCTTGGCAAGAAGATCTGCGATCGCACTAATATATTTTAGTCCTTTGTCGGCGTTGCCCGTCACCGCGGTCTGGTTATTTTATGCCCGGTGTAAACGAGATGGTTGTACAATTATTTATCGGACGACATAAAATCTATTTGACATTTCTGGGTAATGGATACTCTTGCGTCACTATCACACGTCAGGTTTTTAATAATAGCTTTGTGTGAATAAAGTACTATCTGTTAATAATTCCTCTTCATCTATTCATTGGCACTTAAAAGTCTTTCTAGTTTTCTTTGCACGGAGGATTTTCCTTTATCGTCACGCTGTTGACCTTTGATGCTGCACCCCTCAATGGTCTTAGTATGTATACTAATTAAAGGCTATTCATAATTTATAAACTTCATCAAATCTAATGCAGCAAAACAACCACTAAGGTACATTGGGGTAATATGGTATGGTACCTTAAGCTTTGCCGCCAAAGCAAGGTGGAGTATACAAAAACACAAAGCCGTATACTATTAAAAAAAAATAGCAAATAAGTTTGGCAATAATTAGGAACACTTCGAAAATCAACTAATCAAAGCTAACTACATTACGCCGTACTAAAATCGTCTAAAATATAATAAGCTGCGTCCTTTTGACTCTTTATTATTTGATTGACTCATGAAGAGCTATCGTATCACATGCATGTATTAACCGGATGACCATATTACCCTCATATAATAAATGTATCGTTTTACTTCCCGATTTAGTTTTAAAATTGGAAAATTAATTGTAAAATTACCATAATTACTCCCTATTATTAGTCCATTGTTGAACGTAAGCTTAATCCAAAGATATCTCACTAAACAAGGCCTTAGGCTTTACTACTATTGAATCGTCATAATATTAAAATGATTCGCTTTGACTACATTTGCCGATACGAAGGTGCCTCTCTAGAACCTTATTTCCCCATCGGTTATTATTTTTCGGACTGTTTGGTCATTGCTATTGTTCTGCAAGACCCGCCGCAGAAGAACACAAAAACTCTCCGATCACACTCTTAATCTCATGGCTGTTAGACGGGAGATGAGGCTGCAATCGTCAACAGATTTGACAGCATACAGGCAACTGAACAGACAGATCTCCAAATGCATGCGGCGAGACTTACGCAACTTTAATACTGCTCGTATTAAAGAAGCGATCGAGCGGAACCAGGGCTCCAAAGTCTTTGCCAGAGATCTGTCTGCCCGTAAGAACCAACTGTCAAGGCTGAAGACTGAGTGTGACAGCATCGTTTCCGGGACACCTGAGATTTTGAGTGAGATTGAGAGGTTCTATGGGCAGCTGTACACATCATCGTTGGAGCCACACGCAAGTGTGAGTAACGATCCAAGAGCAAGTCTTATCCGACACTATTCCGATGATATCCCGGACGTCAGTCTAAGCGAGATTAGAATGGCTCTCCAGCACCTTAAAAACGGCAGGGCCCCAGGCGAGGATGGAATTACAGCGGAGCTTCTGAAAGCGGGTGGAACACCGGTACTTGAAGTCCTTCAGAAGCTCTTCAATTCCGTCCTCCATGGTGGCACTACTCCAGAGGCGTGGAGCAGAAGTGCGGTGGTCTTGTTCTTTAAGAAAGGCGACAACGCTCTCTTGAAGAACTACAGACCGATTTCCCTTCTGAGCCGCGTCTACGTGCTGTTTTCGAGAGTTATTACGAATCGTCTAGCACGCAGACTCGACGACTTCCAGCCTCCCGAACAAGCCGGTTTCCGAAAAGGCTTCAGTACCATAGACCACATACATACCCTGCGGCAGATTGTACAGAAGACTGAAGAGTACAATTTGCCACTTTTCCTGGCGTATGTGGACTATGAGAAAGCCTTTGATTCCGTCGAAATTTGGGCGGTGCTGCAGTCCCTTCAGCGGTGCCAAGTTGACTGTCGGTATATCGAAGTGCTGAAGTGTTTGTACAGTAGGGCTACGATGGCTATCCGAGTACAGAACCAGAGCTCGAAACCTATCCAACTGCAGAGAGGTGTAAGACAGGGTGACGTTATATCCCCGAAACTCTTCACCGCTGCTTTGGAAGACGTTTTCTAGCTACTGGACTGGAAAGGATACGGTATTAACATCAATGGCGAGTACATCACTCACCTTCGATTTGCCGACGATATAGTCCTTATGGCAGAATCGCTGGAGGACTTAAGCACTATGCTCAATGACCTCAATAGTGCCTCCCAACGGATAGGTCTTAAGATGAACATGGACAAAACAAAGACCATGTTTAATGTCCATGTCACACCTATGCCGGTAGTTGTTGGGAGCACTATGCTCGAAGTTGTTGACGAGTACGTTTACCTGGGACAAATAGTCCGACTAGGTAAGTCCAACTTCGACCGAGAGGTCAATCGACGGATTCAACTCGGCTGGGCAGCGTTCGGGAAATTACGACACATGTTCTCGTCAGGTATACCTCAATCTCTGAAAACTAAAGTGTACAACCAGTGCGTGTTGCCAGTGATGACTTACGGATCAGAGACGTGGTCCTTCACTGCTGGCCGTATGAGGACGCTCAAGGTCGCTCAGCGAGCTATGGAGAGGGCTATGCTCGGAGTTTCTCTGCGTGATAGACTCAGAAATGAGGATATCCGCAGTAAAACCAGAGTGACCAACATAGCCCAACGGATTAGTAAGCTGAAGTGGCAATGGGCCGGCCATATAGCTCGAAGAACCAATAACCGATGGGGAAGAAAGGTTCTCGAGTGGCAGCCTCGTACCGGTAGGCGTAGTGTAGGGCGACCCCCCACTAGATGGAGTGACGACCTGGTAAGATATGCAGGAAGTCGATGGATGCAGGTGGCTCAGGACCGTGCTTTGTGTCATTACTTGGGGGAGGTCTATGTTCAGCAGTGGACTTGTGAAGGGCTGTAATGATGATGATGATGATGATTATAGCTCGCTAATCTATTGGGCTAAGTTGTAGTATAAGTTGTAAGTATAGTTCGTGTTGCTATTAGCCGGAAATTACTCTGGTTCTATACAGACACCGATTACGGATTCTATCAATCAGAAAAAATTTCTGAGCAATACCTCTTCACACCACGCTGAGCGATTTAAAGCTAATGGCAACACACACTTTTTGTACACTTTTGTTTTCAGGTTTTGAGAAATACGTGAGATATGTTACAATGTGTTATTCATAAAAGTCGTTTAATCAAGGCATTAAATTTTTATGACGCCGCAGTCATAAAAGATGCTTGCAGCCTAAATGATTGGATTTCAAGCGCCCAATTTATCATTTGGTGTCTATGGGCGATACCCTTAACTGTTTAAACACTGTTGCACCAATAGCTATTTCTTTGCTGATTAGCAAAACAACATATATGGCAAATTATTTATATACACAATATTTTTATATATACCTACATTTAAGAAGACATAAAAGAATAAATATTCTACTCTTTCTTCAAGTTCTGTGTTACAAGGGATGGAGAAATGAACTAAAATTACCAATAAAGTCACAATGATGCACTCTTCTCTTCTCGAGCTCGGGATTGTTCCGCCTGTTGTATTTGACGGATTGTGGCGGTGCTAGTCGCGAGTGCGGTAGCGGTGGGTTGTGATGCGGTGCAGACGTCGGCTGCTGGGGCGCCATTTGCATCTGCTGTGGCATTGCCTGAACACAACAGTGATCTTATTAATACGGAAAATCAATTATATAAATTGAGTTATCACTTGTACGTACAGGGTCAACAACGACTACGATATCAACAAAGTTAATGGTTAAAACAGTAATTAGTAAAAACCGATTTCGTTAATAAGTTTAGTATAAAAACTTACCCTATCATTTTTGTATTTGAAGATGATATATAAATATTATACAGGCTTATTTTTCAAAGAGTAACCAAATTTAGAACTTGAGTTCAAATATATAAATTATGATATACATTTATTGTTTTTTTAAACTACGAGTAAATAAGCCATGCCTTCTACTTTTATTTGAAGCTATCCCGAATTTAATGTTATTTATGGGTAACAACTTTTTTGCCTATCGATCGACCCTTACGAATGTGTGCGTACGCAGTAAAATCATTTAAAATAACGCACTACCACGCATTTGGAATTTAAGAGGTAAAAAGGACAGAACGTTTGATCTTTTTTTAATTGTTTTCTCTTCACCATTTATTACTTATAGCAAAAAAATCCCGTATGTATATTATTGATGACGTATCATTAAATATACTCTCAAACAAAACGTAACAATTACCGATTACTTGTGTATGCTTAAGTATACGTTTGGAAGCCGCTTACGTGTAAAATATCTAATTTTGAGTCATCAGTTTCAAGTAAAATTTTATTTTATATACCTACTCATTCCGTGTGAACTACGATAGAACTGTTAAATATTATAAAAATCTTACATTCAAATTTTTACTTTCAAGTTTTATCTGCACTTCTACATTCTGCTTCTTCTACATTTGATCAAATAACTTTAAGAAAAACAAAACTTACTTTAACTTTAAGAAAATTTTGTAGTATATATATATATATATATATATATATATATATAACATATTTTTATCTTGTTACAATTTTCGGGAATTTTATTGCCATGCAAAAGATCAGATATGACCAAGTAGTTACCTTGAAAGCAGTTTATATCAATTCAAAATACTACAACGAGTTTAGGTTTAAAATCCGAGATCCTAGAATCATGACTCAATACTAATTAATAAACGTTAAGTGCACGGCAGTACTATAAGTAATGTAAATCCGCATAGGGCTGTCGTACTAAAATTTCATGGTTATATATACGATAAAGTGAATTCCTTAAGCGTGAGACAATTGTCCCATATTTTCTCGTATTTAATTTGAATATTTTTCCATTTTTAATTTTTGTTTTTAAGGATATATAAAAATGTGACATTCTAAAATCGTTAACGCTATTAGAAAACTGTACCAATGAATATAATTAACGATAAGTCACATGAATGTTACGTGCCTTAAAGTTGAGATGTGTGTTGATTCATTTTTACAGTATTCTACTAGCGCTATCAATTGCAGGAAGCAACTTGACTAACCCCGTAGGGGGTTATTAGTTAATTAATAAATGTCAATTAAAATTACTCAACATCGTAAGTACTTTAGTGGTTATATACTCTTTGTTTTTAGCTCAACCATACATATTATTCTAAGAGTCTCCTCTAAGATATTCTAAGAGAGTTCCTCAAAATTGACTTTGTAGTTTTTTCTTCTCTTTTGTCATATTAAGCCAATAAGTGTAATTGCTCATTACTTAAAAGTTTGTGTTCTGTATATTTTCCTCAGCCATGATCGGTTGTTCCGATCTTATGTTAATCTCTCTCACTCTCTGTATTCGTGTGTGTTTTAGAACTCTTATATCTTAACTAAACTTTCTACGCTTAAATATGTCGATTATCGTTTAGAATTTCTAGTGCTAATTAACTTTAAAATATTAAATTTATAAAGGCGTCGGTTGGTTGGTTGGTTCGTTCAAGACGTTGCGTTGATGAACGTGACGGAAGAAACTCCATAGACTTTTGACTTGATAACCGCAGTTTTTTTTATAATTATTAGAAAGACGCAATTGCTAGCTTCTCAGTCGCCTCTTATATCTTATACATACTTGACTAATTCTATACCGCCACTGCACGTTTATTAATATAGATGTATTATCCAATATTGTATTATTATAAACGTAACATCCAGAGTCCAGACTGGTGATACATTAAGTACTGCGGTCGTGGAAAATTCTTATAAGGACTTGTAATACCTATTTTTATACTTTAATAAATGGACGTACCTGAGAATGGTGATGAGCATGCGTCGTTGAATGTGGCGGCACGTGGGGCCCAAGGGGTGCGTGAGGCGCCCGAAGTAAAGGTGGGGGGTGATAGGGCGGCGGGGGCGTCCGTCGTGGGCCGCCCTAGAAATAAACATAGCATTGTGTTTTTTCATGTCACTAGCCTGTAAAGTAAATTTACCTTTGTTCTCTTTTCTATAAAATTAATATAATTAAAAATGCTTCGTCGATTTTACTATTGTGGATAATTAAATATATGAATAGCTAATGTTCCGTAAATAGAAGTTATATTTATAGGTAAATCGCTTTGAAAATTGTTTATTATATCATTATGAATATACTGTTACGTATAGCAACCAATGCCATTTACTTAGTTCTAGTTTCACTGGCAAATTTATTATGATAGCTTACCGTTGCTCGACGCATCCGGAGTTGCTAAACCTTGAGATTTAGGTGGAACAAACACAATCGCTTAGCAGAAGATGGTACCATCGATCGCTTCATCGCAAGCAAACGCATAGCAGTCACACATTTAATACTTTATACTGTTTACCTGCATGGAGTTTCCTGGACTGCCTTGATCTGAGCCGGGAGGCGTTAATGGGGACATGTACACCAGTCTTGAAGGCGGATATTTAGCGAAAGAAGTTGCAGGCTGATGCTGAGGCTGCTGTTGAGGTGGCTGAGGGTGAGTGTAGGTTGGTGGTGCACATAGTCTCTCAGTTTTAATTTCGAGTGGACTGAGAAGTGGTGTAGCGCACTCCTCAAGCAAAGGATCATCAGCCTCGAGCTTGACGTGAGTAGCTCCAAGAGGGGCGAGCATATTTGCATTTTCAGGGTCAATATTTCTGATGGAAGAGGCGATGTCCTCCCATAGCGCAGGACGGAGGAACGCATCGTCTCGGGAAGAAGGTCCACCGTCGAAAAGGTCCATGTGGGCGGGTGCAAGTGAAGCACCCTCTTGCTTGCAGAGCAGCGACTCCAGCTCAGATGTCTGTGGAGAAAACAAATATGTTGTCAATCATTTTTTAATTTTTAGGCGTGTTCAAACATTTACAAAAATTTTACAATTAAAATATTATAGAAGAAAAGTGTGTATTGAATACATGATTAGTTAACACAGAAGTGGTAACAAATGCCAAAGTCTATTGCTATGAGGCTATCCGTATTTGCAGCCCAGACTTTTAAACCAAATCCAGCTAAGAAGAAGCAGAAGAAGTCTTCGGACACAAAGTTCCTTTGTCAAAAACATTGGGAGATGTGAGAGTATCTTACAACAATTCTTATAGTTTTATATATATAGTACAGTCTTCTACAGATTACTTCGGGTTGTACTTCGGAGAGTAGGCCCCTTCTTTATAGAATAAGGATGACAAACGAGCACACAGTCCACCTGATGGTAAGTGGTTGCTGTGGCTCATAGACATCTACATTTAACCTCGATTAAGAATCAAAACGCAGATGCGTTGTCACCCCTGAGGACTAAGATGGAATGCCTCTTTTACAGTAAGAAGGGTCTCCGGATCTTTACACTCATCATAAGAAACACAGCAGTATTACGCTGGTATCCTGTGAGAGCATGTTCTTCCCCGGTAGAGCCGACCCATTCGTGCTACAACCGTAATATAACTGCAGCGTTCATAAGCATATACCGCCATCTCTATTCTATTGGAGTACCAGACGTACTGCAGGTTACCATTTCACATTTGGTTGACACTAAGCGCTATAGTCATCTTTCATAATTCTCACAGCCAAGGAGTGGTGTCCTGAAAGCAGCTGTTTTTCCGAGTTCATATAACCTTAACCTCTTCAAGGTGCGTGCTAACAGAATTCTCCTGGGAAAATTCGCTCCATCGTAGACCTCATCTTTGCCCTCGGGCCACATGGAGGTCAATAGTGAGCCCAGTTTTATAAAAAAACATATGATTAGTAGAGATTCACAATTTTTAAATGGCTAATATTGTCAATGGTCGCAGTTTATGAAATTTTACTGCATTGTATGCAATTTTGTGGGTTCTCTGCTTTGATATTATATGAATAACTAGCGATTGAGTATACAGCAGTAGAAGTGTGATCTGTGACTTAATTCGGACCACAACGTTAAGTATATATGCATCCAGCGAGAATCTTCATTTTAGAGCCATACTGCTACTTCTCTGTCGTTTATGGGTCCCAAGCAGAGTCTATCACAAGTCTAGTGTTATACCTTTTCACATTTTATGGAATCAATGATGCGTGAGTGAAAAGTTTGAGACCCAAATAAATCTTAACCTGTCTCTTAGTCTGCATGGATTGTCTTCATTAATATGATATAATGATGATTTCGCACTTAATAACGCTGCGACGCAACGATTACGACGTCCAATAAAGAAAGAAGTGTTATGTTCTACATTAGTTAGGCCGTCCACGTTTATATCTAATATTTGACAAACTGCCGAACTTTGAATTCAATGCTGAACACAACTAAGGGAAGCTTAGGTCTATGTATCAGGAAAGGTTTCATTATATTCATTACAAAGTCCAACAGTGTTGCTTAATGAAAAAAATGAAAATCGTAAGTTCAATTATCCAATTATTCCCATAATGTTTGAATTGGTTTGGAACATTTCTTGGCGGCATTCAAAGTGCTACAAGTTAAATTTTTGTGGCATACCTTGGAGAAGGCTTATGTTCAGCAGTGGACTTATGAAAAGCTTAATGATGAGGATGATGACGATTCAAGTTGCAAAATGCTAATTTTGATTAGTTTTCATTTGTCTACGGTTTAGCGTAAAAGTGTGTAGCGAATCGAACCGACATATCCAAATTACAATATAAAATTCAAAAGATGCAATGTGTGATTCATAATGATAAAGGCATAATCAAGGTAGGGTTGAAATAAGCATAGCCTGTACCTTAATAAAGGACGTAGGATAGATTTTTTTATTAGTACCGTATATAATAGCTCTTTAAGAAACAACCAAACCGTAAAGAATAGCTAGGTTGTTAAGTATTAGCTTGTGTATGTAATATTTTTTATAGAATAAAGGTGACAAACGAGCACACAGTCCACTTGATGGTAAGTGGATGCTGTGTGATAGTGAAAGGGTGCTGTGGCTCATAGACATCTACATTTATATATTTATCCTCGATTGAGAATCAAAACGCATATGCCTTGTCACTCCTGAGGACTGAGATGGAATGCCTCGTTTCCAGTAAAAAAGGGTCCCCGGATCTCTACACTCATAATACGAAACCCAGGAGTATCAAGCTGCTATTTTACGCTGGTATTCTATGAGAACGTGGTCCTTCCCCGTTCGAGCCGACCCATTCGTGCAACAACCGTAATATAAAATAACAGGTATAAAATACAGTAAATGTATATACAGAATTGTTTTGTGTAAGGATTAAATTCACACATGTTTTTTACTAATCTATTAAATTTGTGAAGAATTTCAAATTGTGTTTAAGATTGGATTTTTTTATGATTTTAATAAATAAAGCAATTTCGCATAAATCTTTTGGGCTTAAAAAGTGAATGACTTTTAACGGTTATCTTTCTACATTTTCAGATGACTCTGTATATTCTTGTATATATAGATTTTGTTAATGCTCAATATTTAATTTGTCTTATTATGTAACTGCTTTATAACTTAAATAGGTTTTACTGGATAACGATTAAAAATTCGATTATGTTAATTTTAGGGCCGTAATCATTTTGACATTTTCCAATTTCTTCACAGCGTGTAGACAGGCTGAGAGCTGCGTTGAGGTCCAAAATTAGCATACAATAGTGTACTGCCCACGCGTTCGGCGCAGGCGCAGGTGACGAGACGCGAGTACCTTACCAACGAACTTAAACTAACAACAGCTGAAGATTTCGCCAAATTAGTACATATTATTATTTTGTATCTGTTAACACGTATGCCCATCCACATCCACATTAGTCGGTATCTAAAATACAGTTGTAAGAAAGGACTACGAAAGGAAAAAGAAAACTTTGTTAATTTTTTTAAAATTAAATTTCACTTGTTCGTCATCATGAAGATGTGAAATCAAGAGATTCCTGTTTCGAGAGGCAAAGATGTAAGATATTCCGCAGGTATCGACGGAGGTTCAAAATACTTTTTGTTTTTTTTTTTGGTTCATTGGAAATTAAACGTACTATAGTGTAATTCCTCAGATCCCTGTGTCAGGAATAAGAAATATAGTATGGTCATAAAGCTTTGTCAACTAGGTGGCGACTAGATACAGTAGCCCTTCACCACTCCTAATATTTATAACGTTATATTATATTTTATATTGAAAATTACTTAAAACCTTAATTAAATGTCACTAAAACTTGATTAATAGACTGAAGTTATCTATGTGTAAATAATGGGCTGCAGATATGTTTTAAGTTGAGTTGTTACTGAATCGTTTCACTTTAGACAGAAAGCTATCAAATGAGCCTTAATTTCTGCGCGTATAATTATTTTTATCTAACAGCAGTGGCAGCTGAAATATATTATTTCGCATCAATAATTATAATCTCGAGTACGGATCAACCTGCTCCGTAGTTGCTATCCGAGTGAGAAATCGTTAACCCCCTGCACGGTGCATAGTTTAACGAGTGGAACCTCTGAGGTACAGAGCGGCGGTGTCGCAAGTGAGCCGGACCGCGCAAATTCCTTCCATGACCTTTGCGGATCGAACGATTGCGCCAGAGTCTCCTCCATTGCGGCTAGACGAGCTTAGGCAATGGTGCACAGATTAGGCCGTATTACAGATCTGTCAGTTTTTGTAGAGCAAGATAAGATTCCTTTTTGCCAGAGCACACAGGCGCTGCAATGATTTTTCATATTCTATTTAAGTATTTCTTTTTTACTTAAAGTGAGAAATAATAGAACAAACTTAATCGTGACAAAACGTTTGTGTTACATTAGATCATTAAGTACTCATGAAGTGGATTCTGGATTTATTTGTATATGGAGTTCTGGCTTGTCTTGTTCGCTTGATTAACGTCTACTGTTTTATCATCAAAATAATGATTTGAAGTAGGTTCTGATACGGAAAAGTGTGAACTAATAATGAAAACGATGAAACAAGTGGTTCGATGTAGTTATAAAGCTCAAGTTATATTGTCCATGTGGGCGTCTTAAGACCTTGAGCATGGCCGTCATCGACAGCATCTACAGTGGATTTGCTGCAGGTGTTTGATGATGATGATAATAATAATATGTTAACTTTTATGCTGTCATTATATTAAAGTATTTTTAAAATTTATTAATCACATGTTCTAGTTTAAATTTACTCTATTTTTACAGATACATACTATTTGAATTTGTAACGTTAACTAGTCTTTGCTCCAAGCAACTTGCCAGGTGCTTTATTCGCTTCAATTTAGCTCATTTATAAAGCCAACTAAATCAGTCTGTGTATAACGAATAGGCAGCCATTGTGAAATTAAAGAACCTCCTGCGGATTTGCACCCGCGGATGGAGAAAGACGCGTTCGAGTTAGATTTTATCTATAATTTTAAATTATTGGGTTCTTGTTCTTAGTAAGGTCAATCTTGTGAATCATTAGATAGTCAAAATAGGTATACTTTGATTCAATAATAGTTTAAATTTCTTTTAAGATTTGAAAGGCGATTTGATGTTTCATTGATTATGAAATTTTGTAACTCTAAATTTATTATAAGAAATGTTGATTATTTTTTAAAGAAAATATTTTTCATTTAATTTGTGAGGAATTTCATCTTGTCTATGAAGTACTTACCACATGCCTTAACAGCTGTCACTCCATCTTACCGGCATATGTGCCATTCGAAAGACTTTCTTCCCTGTCGGTTCGAACAAGTAGTGTGCATAGCATTTTACATAATTGCCTGGGGATGACAAAAGTAATTGCGCGCTGGGTGCCCACAATGCTTACCGATGCGCAGAAACATGCCAGAATAAATATTTCCCGAGGCTTTTTGGAACTGTTGCTGTAAGATTTTGATCGTTTTTTGGCTCAACTTATAAGAATGAA